AAAATTTACCCATACATGTTCGTATAAATATGTTTGTAATGTTGAAACGGTGAAAATTTAGCGATTGTGCTTTTTTTTCTTGCATAATTATTTTTAAAAAAATTTACATATATTTTCGTATATATATGTACATTTGTGTTGATCAAACGGTAAAAAATTTGATGATTGCACTACTGTTTACCATAAGATCGAAAATTCCGACGGCAATAATAGATCTTCAACCTAATTGTAGTGTAGTCACAAATACAGTTACCGATTTTTTACCTGTTGGATTAACAAACACAATGTAGATGTTGATCTAATGGTATAGAATCAAATGTTGTTAGACATGACCACGTGTCGAACCGGCTCATGGTCAACGGGCCTTGAACCGATCCCATAGTTTGATCAGGCTGGTTCCGGGCCACATATTTGTAATTTTTTGAATCGTCAGGCCGATTTCGAATCTGGAACGACTATTCTGTCCTTTTTTTCATTTTTTATTATTTAATGAATTGGGCCGGCCAGAAATTGCCGGTTCAGGAACCTTCCAGAAACTGCCAATTCATTGATTCGGCCGATATATATTTTCTCGGTCGGTTGAGGGCATTCAAAACAACAGCCCGGAATCAACTGTTCCGACCCAAAACCGGTTCGGAACTGCCATATGGCGACCTCTAAATGTTGCTCACACATGTTATGGGTCACCAATAAATAGTACAATGGTGTTACTTTATCAAGTCAGTGGACTGAAAATGTAGATGAAATACATTTATTGGGAACAAGAACACAATTAATTGGTTTAGGGTTCCTAGGTAATTTATTTTTGTTTCTTCCTTTTGTTTTTTCTTCTTTTCCTTTTATAGTTGTAACTCTATGATCTTTATTCAATTTGGTTGTTTAGTTATTACAATGATAAACGGCCCTTCAACCTTCCATGCGGTAAATAATTAAATTGAAAAGGAATAGTTTTGAGAAAAAAAGAAAAATATAATCAAATATGCAGTTCAAGATAGACTAAAAATAATTCTATACTTTTTTTTCATTAGAATTAGGCATATATATATATATATATAGTACATACTTTCAAATTTAATACAATACTTAAAAAATACAAATTTTCTTATGAGATAATCTAACACTTAAATGTCTGACTCTTCATACTTTTGAACAAATTAAAATACATACTTATAATAAAAAATATTATATTTCTTATATTGTATTTAAAGTATGTCAAGTACATGTGTATGATATTATGAATATTTTTGTCACGGCTAGGTTTGTCAAGCAGGTTTACTTTTTTAAGAGCTTTCATTTCAAAAATTATATTTTAAGTAAAAGTATATTTTTCTAAAAGAAAATATGACCACTTGATCTCTCTAAATAATTTCTAACCAGTGAATTCGCTGGATCGCATTATTTATGAAATAATTACTTGAAATGAAAATATTTATTTGAAATAATATCATGGGAACTAACAATATAGACACAAACTACTTCATTGATAGTAGCAAAATTATTGAAACGACATGAATACTAGTAATCACCCAATTGGGACTTTACTGTTTCAACATTATTGGAAGATTAGTACGTCTAATAAAAGGATCTAACTAGGTACTAGGTAGATATATCAAAATTAATTTTATTACATTATTTTAAAATGATTAAAACTGAAATTAGTAGAGCTTGTTTTCAGGACGTATAATCAAAATTTTCAAGTTCACTCCAAATTAGACATGTTTCATTTTCACTAGATTTTGGACAAGCAGCTCCAAAATATAGGCTTTTTTTGTCTCCTTTAATACATATATGTCCACATCACACGATGTCTAGTTTTTAGAAAAGATAGGACAATACACAAATTTAAACAAGTTCTTTCACCTAACCAACTTTTAGTTGTCCAATATTAATATCTTTAATCCCGAAAAATGTGTTGGTCACAATATATTATAAGTAGACTTGATATATTTTGAAATTAATAGTGTGGTTTTTATTAGAGTTCATGAAAAGAGACTAAGCCTGGTAATAATCATGTGATTATGTTTGTTATTCAAAGTAAATCACATGCTCTAAGGTGGTTAAAGTGAAGTTATTAATAGGCAAGTGATTAATCACATTTGATTCTTTATTATACTGTGTAATTAATGCGGCAGATATATTTGACTTTTGAGTTTTGACTGCAAATTTACTAATGGCATCTGCATGCATGTACTCCATCGTGCCATCTTAAATAAATCATTTTTTTTTATTTTTATTTTTTTATTTTTATTTTTTTTTTTCCTATTAGAAGATTGAATATAAAACTCACCGTTGATCTTAAAGTTTTGCTTTTGCATATATATCACGACTTGTAATATTGTTAGGAAATTTACAAGTGCTTACACACCATAAGTTAATGTATTTAATATTATAACAGTGCACTCCAAATCTCCAAATTGTGTGTTTTTACTTATATCCCCGTGATACCGTATTAGGCTATTGATACATTTTTTTTATTATTATTATTATTTGTATTCACACGTATTTCCTGCATATTTATTTTAGTACACATGTCAATATATTTATAGATAATTAAATATCATTCTATAAAACGTGCAATTCTATAACTGCATAGCAAAATTATTTTTTTTATATGCACTAGTGAGGTAAGATTATAATTTTTCAATATTGCAATTGAGGCATTTTCTTCAATTTGATTTGATTTGATATTTGGGACACATAAAACTTGAAAAAGAAGAGAGGGAAGATCAATGGAGAAAAGAAACGGACTGTGAACATTGTTGGGCTCTAACACAAACAGAAAAAAGGCCGAAGTTAAATGACGAACCATCTACTATACTTTTCCATAGATGGGCTCATGTCCTGGCCCAATATCTTGGCCTAAGAAGTTTCAGTTAGTTTCCTAGTTTAGTTTTATTTTATTTTTCATATAGTTGATGAAAAGAATGTAAAAGTGAGTACAAAAACAAAATGTAGCACTAATAATATTCTACAAATTAGCAAAAGTCTCACTACTTGAAATAAAGAACGTTACAAAAAAGGGGACATAATAAGTTGAAAAATAAAAAAAGCAAAAAAGCTTGGTAAAAAACAGCCTACATTAAAAAAAATAGAAATTTAGAAAGTATTGAGCATATTTACCCCCAAATTTAACACCATCTGTACTAAAACATCACACAAAAAATCGGTCACTTGAACTTGGTTCTTGCTTCCACTTGTTTTGTTTTCTTTAATGTTCTTGATGATCAATTTCTGATGTGCATTTTTGTTGGGATGATGATGGTATTACTATTAATTCATTAGATTTAAAAATTAAATCTAGTGAATTATATATGTGAGCACCAAAGCCAAGAGCATTAGGGCGTATGCTATTCCTTGGTCAATTGTTGTCCCTGCAAAATGTGTGAAAACCAAATTAATTAGAACGAGCGATTAGATTTAGGATAATTAAAGTCAGATGATATATGATAAATTGGATCATAATTAGAATTGTTATAAGAATTAATCCTATTGTAGGCTACAGTCAAATTGTATAGGCTCGAGATGAAATGAGTCCGGACTTGACTCATTAAAACACGAAAATAGTGAATTAACTTTTTCGCCGTTCAATTCACAAAATTGATTAATAAATAAAGATATGTAATAAATTGGATCACAGTTGAGTTGTGATTTAATAATTGAGATAGAAAATTAATTAATAAATAAAAATATTATGTAGAATTAAGCAACTCAATCTAATTAATAAATAAAAATAATTTGAAATATTAATCAATGAATTTGAGACTTGTTTGAATATGATAAACATATAGCTATGTGTTGTAAAATTAGCTGATAGTTTATGAGATAGCTTATAGTTTATAAGTGATTTTCGAGCTTATAGCTTATAGCTTATGACTTATAACTAAAAAAACTAGCTCATATGATAAAAGTGTTTGGTAAAATTAACTGATAAGCTAGCTAAAATAAAAATTTTATCGAGCTTAGTTGAAAAGCTACCAAAATAAGCTTATGAGATAAGCTCGAGCTGTTTCAAAAAGCTCGTCCTACCAAATAAAGCTTATTTCAATACATGAATCGTAAAAATTAACCAAATAAGTTATAAATTAGCTTATTTTTCTACCGAACATAGCCTTAGGTGTATCAAAACAATTTTTAAACAGTAAAATTGCAGTTTTAGTCTACTAATTTAGAGTGTTTCTCATTCTTGTATAGTAACCCTATTGGCCATTGAAATTGGTCCAGTAATTCTTAAATTCCAGCCAATTTGGTCCAATAACTCTAAAATTTAAGAGTTATTGGATAAATTTCAAACCAAATAATTGTCGGATTCTGGCGTTTCGGATCAAAATTGGACCATATTGGCCAAAATTAAAGAGTTATTGGACCAATTTCGGGCCCAAACAAGTTACTAAATAAAAATGAGAAACACCCTAAGTTAGTGGACCAAAACTGCAATTTTTCCAATTCCTATCCACGACTCGACGCGTGTGTCTCTCTATATGAACATCATCATACCATCGCTTGAGAAGGCTGGCGCTGGCGCCGGCGCCAACAAGTCGACGTTAGCGGCAGAGACCGACGGGAAGACGGCGGCAACCACCACCATCACCACCACAGCCACCAAAGCCCGTCCGATTATTTCCATTTTCTCTTTGGCTCTTTTGTTTTTTCGGTTTTCTTCAATCTCCCTCTGCAGTTGGGGGCTCGGTGGAAGCTGGCCGGCCGCAGAGAGAGAATGATGAAGCTTGCTTTCCACTTCGTATTTGCCTAAAAAACTCCAATGGTTTTTTTCTTTTTAAGTATGGATTTCTCTTATTAGAGCCCCTCACCTATTTATAAGTGTAGATGGGGTGAAACTTCTGAAGTTCATGTGGTTCTTCGTTTATTTTGGGAACTTTTGATGGTTCATATGAGGGATATTTTTAGAGCCCTTCATTTTATTCATGGTAGTTATTTTTTATTTATTTATTTTGTTAATGATTAATTTGGGTTTTATAAAGTTTTACTGAATGAGAAAAGGGTATTGGTTAAATTCTTTGCTTTAAACATGACATAAAACAAAATATTTGTACCTGCAGAAAGATTCGTCTCTTTACATAAAGTCACCATTGCATATAAACAAGGAAAAGGTCCTAACAGAAGAAGAAATATACATTGATGAGAATTTACCAGAAAAATAGCTTAGTTGCTTGCATAAGTCAAAAACCAGCCGAAGATTATTCTAAGGATGGAAAAACGGGTCCTCCCGACTCTTGTAGATGTCGAACAACTGCCTGGAGTAGTGTATTGCTAATTTTCTACACTGCTCGACACCCCTCGTGTCAAATTTTTGGAGCTCGTCCACTGTTTTATTCACGTCACCGTCAGGATCTCCATCCGTGAGAAACTTGGCCAGGTCACTCCCTCTGCAAGGTAGTAGTATTATACGAATGATTGGTTAGGGTCATAAAAACATTATCGATGAAAAGAACTGCAAAACGAAATAATTCAACTGCAATTTCACAACACAAAAGTAAATAAATCAAAGGAAAAGATACCTGGGTGCATGAACTTGGCTGAACCCTCGTCCATTATGAACCAGAGTCGCCTGGTGAAACTGCTCCTCAGACGTTTGCCGACGATAGATAGCACATACGGCCTTCATACAAAGCTCCGGATATTTACCCAAATCGGCAAGCATATCAGCTTCATATTCCCAATCCATCTTGCACTTTCTCTCTCTTCTTAGCCCAGACATCACCTTAACATATCCCCCGACACAACCATCCGACTCGTTTTCCAAGCCATCATCACCTGAGTTTGGACCTTCATTGGACTCGCTTCCCGATTCGTCCGAGCTTCTCACGATAAATCCACCAAGGCTTTCGCCTTCTTCACCACTCGACTCGTCTGTTTCTTCTTCTTCCTCACCCGAGAAAGATTTCGACTTTCGCTTTCCCAAAAGATCCTTTTCCTCACTTTCTCCAGCCCTTCTCAGGCGTCGTTTTGGAGTACATTTTTCGCGGTCACCGCTCAAACATGAATCATTCTTAGCATTACAACCGTTTGCGGATGATTTCTTGCTCATGAGTGTGCTGATTAGGATATTGTCATCATCGCTATCGTTTTCAGTGTCGCTGTTAACTACACAAGCAGCTCGTTTCCTCACTTTCCGCCTCTTTGCCATTGGTGGCCTTGTGAAGTAGCAAGCATTTTCTTCCTCACAATCATTGCTATCAAGAATAACTCCCGACCCGACACCTGTCGAGTTCTCAACATTTTTGTTATCAGGATCGTCATTGTCGTCACTGTCACTAATTTCGATGGTGGCATCAAAAGGGGGTTTATTTCCAGGTGTAGTGGGGGTAATATTCTTGCGTGGGGTCCCTTCACCAGAGAGTCCGAAATCCAGGCGATTTCTTACTCGAGCCTCGAATCCACATGCACGGTTTCTATTGAATCCTTCGAGATGATCCATATCCAGCTTATGTGGAGTGTTAATGGTGCCTGTTAAGGCATGGAAGCTTATATCATCACCCAAAATGATTGTCCATTTATTTATATTTATCGATCAAGAAAAATATAACAGAGGAATCTATAAAATATGAATGTACCAATGGTAATCAATAATAAGAAACATACCTTGATCATCTTTATCCTCATCTGAGTTCTTTTCACTTTGCACTGTTAATGGTGTACCTGCATAAAAAAAAAAGTCAACAATTTTATAAACAAAAGTAAAAAGAATCCTTTTCACTAAAACTACTTTTCAAGAAAAAATTTGAAACTGTTCTCATCATACCAACAGAGAGTCTCTTTTCCACCTCCAATAACTTCATATCCAATTCTTTACACTTCAACTTCCAAGTCCCGATATCAACCTCAGCCTTCTTCTTCTCGCACTCCAATACCTTATTTTCGATCATCAACAGCCCCAGCTTTTCATCTTCCTCCTTAAAACTCCGAACACGGCTTTCAAGCTCTGCATTCCTCTGCTTCAACAATACAACCTCGTTCTCCAGTTTTAGTTTTTCGAGTTCCACGCTTCCAAGCTTACTCTCCAGCGAGTCGATCAAGGAATCCTTCTTCCAGACGTTTAACTCCAATCGTAAGCATTTGTTGTCGGCATTTGTGATTTTGTCGTACAGTTCCAAACACCTGATACAACCCTCGTATTCTTGCTTCCGCTTTGATTTGCCGAGCACGAAGGAATCACTTTCCGCCACCCCCATGTCGACCTTCATTATTCCCAAACCATAAACCCTAATTCAAACAAAACGCGCAAGCAGGCCATGTCGGGCCAGAAATTTTAAATTTCTCAAACAAAATCGAAATGCCCAAATACTGAACTTGAGGGGAAAAAAACATGCAAATACAGCAGGTTTGTCGAAGTGCAGGCTAGGGTTTCAGAAAAAAAAAATGGAATCAAGATTTTACATTTGACGAGAGAATTTTTGGACTAAGTGAACAGTTACATCTGTTTTCAGGAAAATTGAGAGTAAGATTGGGGCTATTGAGAACCGATAGAACTCACAATGGAGGCACGCGCAGGCAGCTGCGACGGCAGCCGTTGAGAAGATTCTACTTCTGCTTGTGGGAATTCAATGACCAATTTGCCTTAATTGGGACGTTGAAGAATGAGGCGTATTGCGTAATAATTCGTTATTATACTCCAAGGACGGTGGAGGATTAAGAAAACAAGCCCAAATATCAAGCCCAAGACCAAGACCAAGCCCAAAATAAACGCCAGGGTTAATTTACATTAAAGCTACAGCCATATACAAGCCCAATTGGATTTATCATGGCCGTAGAAGCAAGGTAGTGAAGAACAAAACACAACACTCCATCACGATTTTCCACTCATATTATTAACCTAGATAATTAAATTTGTTGATGGAATAATTATTTTAATAACTAACATTTTTAATTAATTAATTTTTAATTATCACAATATTCGGATCATTTTGTCTTTATTTATGGTTAGATTTTATTTTTTTTTACATATTTTGATATTTTGTAATTTAACAAATTTTTAAAAATAAACAGATGACCATTTTTTATTTTATTCTTTTTGTGTATGGCCCGAAATTGGTACGGAGCTTCGTATAGCCAATTTAATATGTATTATGTATATAACTTTCGATTTAATAAAAGTTCTCCATCGATTTTGTTTTTCAATTAAGCCTATATTATATATGACATCTATCAATCAGTATAAAGTATTACAGATAACGAAACAAAAAGTTTGAGCTATACGCAATATTAAAACAAAAAAAAGTATAGTTTTGAATATTTGAAGAAAAAGAAATCAAATCTCAGTGACAACGTTTTTCTTTTCTTCCAACAGTTACCTGATGTTTTAAAATGCTCAAATTAATGCTTAAATGATCCAAAAAAAATGTTTGCAAATTGAAAGGGTGCAGATTTTATTAATTTATTTATTAATAACATGAATTATATATTCCAATGAATTATGTCAGTACTAATACTGTAATTCTCACCAGTCACCATGTCCAATAAAAATAGACAAATTAAAACTTCACAATTTCGTATGTTAGTATTTAATATCTTTATTACTATGCACAAATTGTGTAACTTTTGTCCATGGCTTTAATTGTACTAATACATATCAACAAACACTGTCCTCGTTTTGTCTCACTCAAAAATAATTTAAAAATCAAGAAACAAATGATGTTAAAAAATGAAAATGAAGAAAAATTTATAAAAACACATAATGTGTTCTTACAAACGAAAGGGACAGTACTTGCAAGATTATTATGCTACAACAGCCAAAAATAAAGAGCTGTTTGCACCATTTTGCAATTATTATGTGTGAATGCTATATCTTTCTGCAAATTCAAAAAGAAACTAGTAGGAAAAAATAAATAAAAATATTATCGTTGTATAAAGATATCATGTTGCTTTCGAGGGGCCTATACTCTGTCAAACTTGAATTTGCTGCTTTTAAATTTACTGTGTATTTGGTTGTTATAATGACTAACTAGCGCATTTATAATAGGCATGATGCAGGTACAAATGACTCCATTTCAAATTTTACAAATATATTAAAAATAAATGTCCAAAGATTTGAAATGAATTTATTTGAATTTTAGTTGATTTCAACAAATTAAGATGGACTTTTGATTAGAGGTGTTATTCGAACCGAGCCGAGTTGAGTAGCTAATGTTCGAGCTCGTGCTAGATTAATAAACGAGTCAATAAATGTTCAGCTAGAGCTTGAGTCGTTTAAGCTCATGAAAGCTCGGGTCGAATATATATGTTCGCAAACAAGTTCATCTAAAGCCTTAGAGGAATTGTTCGCGAATATGAAAAGTCTCTATTCCAAAAGGTTCATCTCGTGTGTTTCATTTAAAATCCATAAACAATAATTAAAAGTTAGTTGTTCGCAAATAAGCTCGTGTCTAACTCGTTTAATATGAGGAGCCATGCTGAGCATAAGCTCGATTCGTTTAACAAATTACGTTTTTGAATAGTCAAATGTTGAAATTTTCATAAACGTTGGCCTTATTTTGAGGTTTATGAATGTTGGGCGGATTATGAAGTTTTCAACATTTAGTCCTACACATTTACTCTAACTTGAATAGTCAAATGTTGAAAACTTCATAAGTGTTGGCCGAAACTTTGATCTGGTTGCATATTGGTCGATGTAAATGACCCATTTGGAATTGGTTTCGACTCCAAGTCGATCGAGTCTCGAGTAAAAAAAAAAAATTAAAAAAATAAAACAATTACAAGTGGAGTAGCGTTGGCTAGGAAGACATTAGACAATAGTAGTAATAAAGATTGGGGACAAGAGAGTCAATTAATATGGGACATGCAAAATCTGAAAACCTACATAGCAATGAAAATTAGGGAAGGAGATGGGGCCCGCCCTCCCGCCGCCGGCGGCCTCCTCGGGTTCATACAATAGCGGCGGCCTCGTCAGGAAAACGAGTCAATTCCTCTTTCTTAATTAATTAATTAATTAATTAATTAAAATCATTTAATGCGGCCACGGCCCATGACTTTATCTCTCACACACACACACTCTCACTGTGTGTGTTTTCGTATAATGAATGAATGTGGGTAAAAAAAGACTGAAAAACAATAATCAAGCAATCAAGTTTTGGGGGTCCGCTAGTCAGTTGAATTTACCATCCTGCCCTTTTGTGTTCAATTTTTGTCGGGTAAATTGCACTAAACTCCCTGTATTTATTTTGCTAAATGTGCGAGTTTCTATATTGTGTTTTAAAAAACTAGTGTATACCTCGTGCGATGCACTGGAACAATATTAAATTAACAATATTATGAATAGACCTCGAGTTTGAGTCACTCAATGGCGGAAGTGGAAACTACTATTGATCCTATTTAAAAAGAGGAAGAAAAAAAATAATTATAAATTAAAGAGGAGGATAAACAATACATAATAATTATAAATTAAAGATTCGAGGTCAAACAATGTAAAATTATTTTGTATAAGAGAATAAAAAAAATTTGGTTACACACTATTTCAAAATTATTATTATATTTTTTTGTATGGTTATCTTATAATATTTGTAAAAATATTAGTAATTAGACCGATGAAATTAACTTCTTAAATTAGATAATGGATTTATAGTAGTAATTATGAATTGGTTTCTATTTTATTTTATTTTTTCTTTTTAAAGATTATTAGATAATGGATTTATAATAGTAATTATGAATTGGTTTCTATTTTATTTTATTTTTTCTTTTTAAAGATTATAAATTTCTAGTAGTAATTATGAATTGATTTTTATTTTATTTTTTCAAATCTGTATAGATAAGGGATGAGATTTTTTAAACACGTGAGACGTATGCAATGAGATTTTCTAACAGAAGAGATAAGCTCATGCAGATTTATACTAAAAATAAGAAAAAAAAATATTTATTGTCAAACAACGGTTTTGATAAACTAAAAAACAGGAAAAAGAGAAACAAATCTTTACACAATTAATGAGCCAATTTTTTTGCCTATTCAAATTTGTTCAACAATTACTATATGTAGGATATATTTAATGATTTTGGCGGAAAAAATGTTTCTAAATTTGTAAAAAAGTTATTCTTTTTATATAATGATGATAGATGCACCATACCCTTTTATATTTAAGGGTCGATGCAAACGCTCTCTTCTTTCTGTTTCTCCCTGGATTCGAACATGGGACCTCAAATGAGCATAGAGAGCAATGCAACCACCACACAACTCAAGGTTTAGTGTTAACCCTAAGAATGTTTAATATACATGGACATTACTATTGATAAATGAAATTAAATTTAAATGATAATGTAAATTATATTAAATTATATTATTAAAATATAAAATTATGATAAATTAAATAATAATAAAATGAATTATATAAAATTAAATGAAAAAAATAATTAAAATAACTTATTATATATAGAGAAAACAAAATATTTAGAATAAATTATAAATAAACATAAAAAATTACAGTTAAAATAATAATATTTATTGTATTTATCTTATATTAGTTTTATATTTTTTATATTTTATTATTCATTTTAATTTATATTATTCTATATTATTAGTTGCATTATTCATTTTATTTTACTTTAGTTAACAAACTTTATTTATTTTGTTTAACTTAAAGACAATGGAATAAAATAAAATAAATTTTACCAAATAAAATTTAGAAATTAAAATTATTTATTTACAATTAAAATCATTTACTAAAAAATTATAATTTATTTAATTTTTTTCATATTGTATGTAATAGTAATCGTAGTAAAATTAAATGATAAATGATACATTTTTATTTTATTATACTAATTTAAGAGTTTTATTAATTTTAATTTATTATTTCATAATAACTTATTTGGTTTATTATTTATTTAATTTATCATTTTTACACTTTATTATCTCATATAATTATTATTTTTATTTTATTTAAATTAGTCTATTTTAATGTTACTTATTTCTTAATTTATTTTTTATTATTTTTCATTTAAATTTATATAATTAATTGATTTTAATAATTAAAAATATTAATTTATATAATTTTAATCATGCTACTATATCAAATTTTATTTAAATTTTTTTTAATTTAATTTTTTTCATTATTTTTATATTAATTTAATTTATTGCAAGTTATTATTATTATTATAATTATTATTATTATTATTATTTATTTAAAATTTATATTAAATTTACCTATTATACTTTATTTTATTTTATTTACTCTATTTTTATTTTATTTAATTCATTTCGGTATCATATTATAAATATATTTATGTTCATTAGGTTACACAACCATTAGTGTAGTCCAGTGGTTGTGTTCGGCGTTTTCTACCCTTGAGACCTGAGTTCTATAGCTTTTGCAATAAAATTCAGGAGGGTATAAATGTAAATTAATAATTCTGCAAAATAAAAAAATTGAACAATTCTCGTAGCTGGAGAAGGTGCCTTACACGCGCTGTTAAGTTGGACGGAATGGAGGAACCGTGCATCAATTACTTAAATATAAAGGGGTCTGATGCATTTTTCAAAATACATGGCAAAAACGCGTACATTTCGTTAAATACAAAGGGGCGCCATGTATTTTACCCAATTTTTGTCCCACCTATGTTCCTAATCTAGGGTGGGAATTCGGAAAGATTAGTTAATTTTGGTTGATATGGAATTTGTTTTACCTCAAAATCCGAGAAAGTTGGGTTGGGTCAGGTCGGGTCGGGCCCGGTTAGAATTGAGACGGATCATTTAATCGTGTCTCATAAAACTATTTATGGCATGATTGGTATGATAGAATTAAATTTCGAAGGAATAGAATGTATTGAAGAATGGAATGATTATGGGAATGAAATGAAACATGTTTTGTCATTGATGCGTTTGGTATACAGAAGGAACATGACTGGAATGGAATGACATTATCATTTTTTATTATAAAATAAATAAAAGATTTTTTTAAAAAATAATATACTTTTAATAAATTATATATAAATGCTTTTTTAATAATATATAAAAATAAAATAATATATTTTTAATAATATATTTTGAATAATATATACAAATAGAATAATATATTGTTTAATAATATTAAAAATAGAATAATATATTGTCTAATATTATAAAAAATAATATATTTTTAATAATATATAAAAATAAAATAATATATTTTATTTTTTAATTAAACAGTAAATAAAAGTATGTTTTCAATTTTTTTATTCAAATTTTATTTTTTAAAATAATATATTTTTAATAATATTTAAAAATAAATTAATATATTTTTAATATTTTTCAATAATATATTTTTAAAAGTAATATATTTTTAATATTTAAAAATAATATATTTTTAATAATATATATAAATAAAATAATATATTTTTAAATTATATATAAATGTTTTTTTTAGTTTTATTTTTGTATAAGTATTTAATATATCTAATTAAAATATAAATAAAAGTAAGTTTTTAATTTTTTTATTTGAGTTTTTGTTTAAAATAATTTTATTTAATATATTTTAATCATGATTTATAATATATATTATATATTTATTTTTTATT